CGGTACGAAACTCATCAAGATCGAAACGGGCGGGGGCGGCGGGGATCGAACCCAGGAGGTTCCCAGCGCAAGCTTTCGCTCCACGCTCCGAGCTGAGACGCGTTAGCCCACTCGGCCACTTCCTCCCTTGCGAGCTCATAGCGTTGGGAGTTGCTTTTAACGCGCGAGATCTTGTGCCGGTGAGATGTGCCCTAGAGCAGGGAGCTCGCGCTTCTAGCCTTTCCTGCGATACATCATAAGGTGAAATAGAGTATAGCCCAACAGTTAATTTAAAGGGATACTACAACGAAATCTCGGCGCTCATTTTTTGGTCTATGTGTGTTCAAAGGAGCAGCATCACATCGAACATACCAATACACCAACTCATGTTTACAAACAAACCGGAGCGCCCGGAGCGCCCCTAGGACGCCACCGGCGCCGCGCATGCGCGATGGGGGTGTGGGTAAGAAGTTCGCCGTCGCCCATAAACAAACCATTGAAATGCGATGTTGTCAGCGTCGGTGTGAGTCCCCCTGCCCTTTTTCGCGTTCGAATTGGTGGTTCTACGTCTTCCTGGCGATGTCTGACTACTTGAGCGGCGTCAGCGAAATTACCGAGGCTCGTTACACCGCAAAACTTCACGTGAATAATGTGACATGTGGCGATTCATTCCGCATGGACGCCGCAGATTGTACGCTAAAGCCTGATTCGCATGATGAGATTTCGCTCGGAATTTTCAGTCGCGACGCCGCTCGGGCTGCAAAAGCGTGAACCGTAGCTGAGACGGTCGACGACGATACCGAAAATCGCAAGCAGAATCGGACCAACTGAATTAGGCATAACAAGAAGTCGGTGTTGGTCACTGGTAACAATGACCAACATCTCCTTGTATCTACTGTTTACATCGAGCCTGCTTACCAACCTTCAAATTTAAGTCTTTTGAGGCCTGCACTCACTTCTTATCGCAAGTACCGGGCCAACATTTGGTCTACGGACCGGCGTCGTCTAAGAGACCAGACGACAAGCAGAAACGTATGAAAGAGCAGAATTCGAACAATCAGGCGGTCGTTTGAACTTGCAGACGCACTGAACGTAGTCCACAGGTGGTCCGCACAACTTGACAGTTTTCTGGCGTTCATGTTGAAACAAAACAAATAAATCTGATGACCACAAGTATCCGTGAATTCAACCCAAAGTGCTTCCCGGCCAAGCAATCGTTGTCCGACGGCGTCTGCTTTTCCCTTTTCACAGCACATATCCAGATTCTCGGACGAACCGAGCACGTGAAAACTGACCTTCAAACCTTTCTCGACACTTTTGGTACGGCCCCAGTAGCGGCGTTTTGACGAGAAGGCAGGTTTTCGTCTGGTTCCTTTCAAAACAACGCAGGAGTACACGTCTGGCATGGGGACTTCTGCCCACAGCCCCAGACCGGAAGTGCGACCGACGCGCCACCACCGCGCCGTGACGTCACAGAGATGAGTTCGTGTATATCTTGTTAAAAAAGTCACGAAAAGGAATTTTAAAACAAATTAAACGATTAGCAAAGAGCACCTGGTGGATGTCGCTAACGCCTCGCTTGTAATGCCCGTCTAGGAACCTTCACAGCTAGTGACGGAGGTTGTCTCGCCTCCGGCCACGACGAGAGGAGGGGCAGGAGGAAGTCCCCTCTTCCCGAGAATGCCTTTTGTGTGTCGCAGAAGTCGCTATTGTCCCCCTACAAGATTACAGAAGGTTATCCCGTCACTCAAAATTCGTACAAAAGCAGCCGCTTCGGTGGCTGGAACGACTAGGCCATCCTCTCGACGTCAGCCTCGCCGTAGCTTTGCTCGTCCTGAGACGACCTACGTCACGATTGCGTTGGATGTCACGTGGTCTCCGCTGGGCCTTCTCCAAGCGCTTGCCAGAGTGGGCGGCCGTTTATAACGAAAAATACAGCCACCAGGCTCAAAATACAAACGTGCGATTGTCATTTACGGATATTGTGGATCATATTTAACCTATTTTGGAACACGACGGGAATATTTCAAATTTCGTTGAAGTATCCCTTTAATACCATTCTCATTCATTTTCTGCCCTGTGCTAATATGCCAACGTTCATATTCGCTTTCAAAATGCCTGGTGAATTTTTCAGGGCTACAATTGTTGTATATTACCATTATTAGCTAAATATTGAATTATACTATACATATACGGTATATTCATCTGCATTACTCAGGTTATTGGCAACAGTGTTTTCCACGAATAAACCTCGAATTCCTTTTCTTATTTCCACCGTATTTTTGCATCTAAGTGCCTATATAGGCATTTTTCTAATATATATATATATATATATATATATATATATATATATATATATATGTATGTATATATATACGATACTTGTTCATTTTCTCGCCTTGAGCCCCTTAGCCATAAAGTTTGAGATTGAATACCCATACTCTACAGCAAAGGGGTCACCTGTGTCACTCATATAACTCAGCATCATGAGGAACGGTGGATACATTAGTGTATAATTAAGGTTTTAGACCTGGTCGAACACGTTCCTAGGAACGCGGAGTCACCATTGTCAACTGAAGTTTGCGAGGCCTTATGGAGGGAGCTGGCCAATGTGCGCGACCCTTATTGTTTTCTCGATTCGTTCGTTGGTTTGCACCCCAAAATTTTTCTATACAAGAGCTAGAGCCAGGGACGGCGCCAGGATCTTCATAATGGGGGGGCGGTGGGGAGGCGAACCAAATTTGGGGGGGGGGGGGGGGAGGGGGAGGGGCGGTTGCTTTAAGGTGCTGTCGCCCACGGGCTTATGGAAGATAGCTTATGCGGTGTGCTCATTGAAAAGGGAAATGCGGAGACACGAGGAGGAAGACGGGGGGGGGGGGGGGGGGGGGGGGGGAGGGTATTACAGCAGGGACCTCTGCCCCCTGTGCTCAGACTCACAACCAGGTTTTGCTTCCCTTTCTGAGACAGTCCGGAATTCCCCATGACCTCGACTTTAACTAATGGTGAATTCCACTCGTAGATCTGGAGCGCTTTCCAAAATCCGCGAGGGAGGCAAAATTCCGCCCCGTGGGACCCGCTCCGAATCGACGAGGGGAAGATATACTTGCATTTTTGGAGCGACCTCCCCCACACCCCTTCCCACCCCTTTTCCCTCCGCCGTACAAAATGGCCGCTGCTCGAACTTGACCAGCCCACCGACGCCTCAGCCGGCTGATCTTTCCGACGACCAGTGACGACTGTCACTGCTTAGCTGCAGAAGTAACACGCGACACAGACCGGGCGAAATTCTACGTACGTACCACGGCGCCCATGTCACAAATAACGAAGACGTCCGCGTTCGGCACCGTCACATACCTTTCGGCCGCCTCGAAGCGGCGGGGCACGGACAGCGATTGCCAGCGGTGGAGTTCAGATTTGTAGTACGACTTTAATAAACACAGAGGTAACAAACCATCACTTGCGCGGTCGTTGCCTAACCACTTCTTGCTTTATTTCACGGGAAAACGTCGACGGAATGCAGTGCAAAAATGTAAGCAATCACTGGCTGCAGAATGAATAGGCCTAACCTTGCGTCCGCCTCCGGCTTTTCTGTCGTTCCTTTTCTCGTTCTTCCTCTTGCGATCACAGAGTCAGCGCTTACGATTTGCCACGCTCCACATTCCCGGCTTTTTATCCCTGATCTACGCGAAGTAGAAGCGTTGGAGCCGTCACATTCCAGAGTAAACAACTGACGCACACGAACAGATCCAACTCCACGACCCGACCGGCCCGCCGATCTCTCCAACCTCGCCGCGCATGCGCACCGCCGATTTAGACGGAAATCACGTGGGCCGCTCTGTCAACTTCCGGAGAGATCTGTGAAACCCTGCAGAGCAAGTTCGGCGGAGTTTGGGGCGCTCCGTGGAGCGGGCGCTGCCAGAGATCTACGAGCGGAAGATGACCAACTTGAGCCAGATCTGCGAGCGGAATATGCGCGCTCCAAATGGAGCGCTTTTGGAGCGCTCGAGATCTGCGCGCGGAATTCACCATAAGCTCCCCTTCGTTCACGTCTCCGGTCTCCGCTAAGATAAGCACCACAGAGCAGAATACGGAGAGAAAAGCCAGCAGGCGTCACAAAGGGGAGCTTCTTTTTCTAAAGCGCTTGATAGCTTACTCTAGAGTGCCTTCATGTGCTCCCTAGCTTACTCGCCTGCGGTTAGGGAGACATGAAGGCACCCTACCCGCGGTACGACTTCCAGTAACTGGAAGTTAATAGAAAAAAAAAAAAGAAAAAAAACGCATGAACGGCTCTAAAGTCTAGACACTCGTTACACCGGGTCTTCAAGCCGACGTCGTAGGCAATTATTTGTGTACAAAGCGGCTTCATCTTGGGGTGGCAGAAGAAATTTTAGGGGAGGCGCCCGCCACCCCTCGCATCCCCTTGGCGCCGTCCCTGGCTAGAGCGATCGACTATTTTCGAAGTAGCCTCTAACCACCAATTTCCCCCACTTTATTTGCATGTCGTGAAACATATAATTTGATAATAAGGGAATCCACCGGTATCGAAACTGCCCAAGACGTATCCTAAAATGTACCATATCTGTATTTCATAAGGGGGTTGGGATTCAGACATTGACCATCATCATAGTTCATATTATTATCATAATCATTATGGGCTTTATAAACAACCCTTGCCCAGGACCCGAAATTCCTTGGCCCGGAGTATTTGGAATATTACCGTAGGAAGAAACCGACGTACTGACGTCCGGCACTACATCGACGGCCCCCCCGACGTAACGCTGGTCAAAGTTGCTGGCGCTAGCATGGGGCTTGATCTCGTTGATCATTTGCACGCGTTCTCGCGCAAACAAAACCATATATGAAGCCACACGCTCGCGCCGGTAGTTTTGACAGCGTTCCACGTTAGTACGAAATCGAGTATAGTAACGCTTTCCCCATTCAAGATAGCATTCGAGAGCCATGCATGGCACATACACCACATGAACCATGATCTGATTTTGTAATTTATTATTTTCCCCTAAAGGGGACGGGTCACTCCCGGAAGTAGTGCAATACCGGGCTAACCCTGGCGTCCTAGAAGCAAGCTTCGCAGGAACACCGCTTACAAAAATAAGTTTAATATCTTTGGACCAATTAGGCCCATATCAGATATTAAGCTGATAAGAACAGATACTATCATTGATCTTAGCCAAAAGGCCGAGAAGCGATACTCTTGCATGTAGCAAATTTTACCCCACCTAAGACCAGCTTCCCGCGATAGCGAAGTACCTCATAGCATAATATCCTATTTACCGATTTCTGCACACAAACCAATAACGATATTCTAGACAGAACGTTTGGTACAACCGAGTTAGTACTATCCCTAAGTTACAGTCAATCACAAAACAAAGCCTTAGGCTGTATTCTCCATATTTGTGCGCACCAAAACGTGCAAGATCTTGTGCACGCTGATCCCCTCCCCCCCCTCCCTCCCCTTTCCCCTAAAAAAAAACAAACGAAAAACAAGTTTTTGTAAGCAGTGAGAGAGTGCAGGCGAGCTGGTAATCAATCGACATCTTGTAAACCCTGAGATGGGGAACAATAAAAAAAAAAAAAAAAAAAAAAGAAAAACGGAGGAACACAAGTTTGTCCGTTTTTTTTATCGTTCCCCATCTCAGGGTTTACAAGATGTTGAAGTTTTTGTTCGTGTTTTTTGTAGGGGAGAACTGGGAGGACAAGTGGGAACGGACCGTGCCGGAGCTTAGCCGGAGCACAGCCGATACATCATTGGCTACGTTTACCTGGAAGCGACCGTAGCGGATCGAATTGAGTTAGCACATTTAATTAATTTAACTACTTCGTTTACATGAATTCGAATCGACCGGTGGCGACACCTCACGTCGAGTGATTATTACAGCGCACCCCACGTGACCTGTCCGTTCTTTTCTTGGGGCGGGGGAGATTAGTGGAGCCTATCGGCGACGATGCGGTCTGGACGATAACACAAGGCGGAGGGGAGTGAAAAAGGGGAAGAAGAAGGGAGGGGCCTTCCGCCCCTCCCTTCTTCCCCCCCTTTCACCGATCCTTCAGACACTCGATTCGATTCGCTAGAGTTTCCATGGAGGTCTCGATTCGGTTTGAGAATCTCGAACCAACCCCTTCAAACGGATCGGATCGGACTGCATTCGGTGCGTTTGGCAAGCGAATCGAAGCGTGGAACGATTCGATACGCTGACTGGACTCTATCCGCGACTGTCGTATCCATGGAAGCCACTCACCCGTAAGCTGATCACGCGGTGGGAGCTACTCGCACTCGGCGGACCAATCAACCGCATCGCTTTCGTCACATGACCCCACTCATTCTCGCCGTGGGTATGGACGGGAGCGATATCACTTGGTGATAGATAGACACATGACTGGTCCAACGAGCGCCTGGCTTCCACCGCACCGTCAGCTTAGGGGTGAAGCGACTCTGTTCGCCCCTATGCTGAGAATGCGGCTACGTGGTTCATGGACCTGTCATATTTCGCCACGTGACCACGCTCCCGTTCGTACACAGATAGCGAGGTCAGGTGATAAAAGACACGTAGTACAGTGGCGCCGTGCCGCGACGCAGTCACTCTAATGGACTAGTGCGAGCTGCAAGCTGTACGTTGCGATATTATTGTTGCTTTGTCCCTTATTCATTAATGTCTTTCATTTCTTCATTTTGGGGGGGGGGGGGGGGGGGATGCGTAGCTTTGCAAAGAAATGCTGCTCGTCCGGTGTTTTTGGGGTGGAGGAGATAATTAAGAGAGGCTAACGAGGCCTCCGTGGCCTCGGCCATGAAGTGCTGTTTCGCTTCTACGCTCTTATTGGGTCTCATGGGCCGCAGCCCCCGCATTTCGCAAAAGCGGTGTTGGAGCGCACAAACACTTTGCGTACCAGTTCGTGGTTGCGCAGTGTTTCGACGGACGCCTCAGGCGAAGTCGAAGTTGGACACTGTTTAGACAGTGTTCAATGTTGCTGCAGCACACACGAGTGATGCACGGACCGACAGAGCGATTTTGTACGTAGAAAGCACTCGACTGAATAAGTTTAGCTCTTTCAGAAACATATAATTGATTACTTGTAATTGATTGCAGAAAAAATGGTAATTGAATTACAGCGAATGTTGCCGCAGAAAATAAAAGTAATTGAAGCCTTAAAAAAGTTACCTAGATTGCAAGTGATTACAAGGAATCAGCTACGTGTAACTCGTTACGTATACAGGTATTCTCCTGACGAATCCCAAAGCATATTCGCGACACCAGACACGATTCCACCGGTTTCGGAAGATGAAGACAGCGAGAGCTGGACGACTCCCTCCCGTCACCGCCGCTCGCGGCCACGCCGTATAGGCCCCTTGCACTGACGTCACATCGCATACTTTTGAACACCAAGTAAAAGGAGGAGAGGTAAGCTGCTTTTGTAAGAATTTTGAGTGACAGGTTATCTTCTATAATCTTCTGGGAGGAGAACAGCGACGTCTGTGCTTATCCGGGAGGCTCCTGATAAGCGGGGAGCTCCTTCTTCCCCTTTTCTCTGGAGGGCATCGAAAATGATGTCATGTGCAAGCCACGTATACGGAAGCGGAAGTCTCTCGCATGTCAAAACAGAAATTTACGGTGTTGATCCGCCCCGAGAACGACACAGCATCTCGAGCACCCCGCGACGCCGCCTGGCAGCAGTCATTGCCCAAGCCGCCCCACAGTGCCCGCACCACTCACCAAACACCCTAACATTGGCCCACATCGATCAACGCAGTAATTCCGCGACTATTGCGTTATGTATCGAAACCGGCCGCGCCCCACGACTGTGCAGTATGTGTCGCATGACCATCGACGGGCACACATTTGAACTCGAGGCACAGCTCCGACCACGGCGCACCTCCCGGGGGGCAGTTCGGGTGGACTCGAGCGACACTGTCGACGACCTGCGGATCACCGCTACTCGTGAATCTGTCCAAATTCTGGACATCAGAGTCTGACGGCTGGGCAAGACCAACTATGCCCTAATTGCATTTGACACCACCTTTCCACCGAAGACAGTGCGGAATCACTTCGAGCCGTGCGCCTTAATTAAGGCCTTACGTGCCTCGCGCGCTGGTCTGCTACCGATATCACAAACACGTGCATTGGGAAAGGCACTGCCTCAACATGGCAGTGTGTGCTTCCTGAGGCAAGGAACACAAGACTGAAGCCTGCCTGAACGAGACGGCGTACTGCAATTTGTGCCGCTCGGAGGACCGCACAACGTAGGATCCGACTCCCGAAAAGGTCAAGCCGGCGCTCGTCGAACTCAAGGCCCCGGCGCACAAGCCACTGTATCCAACGTCACGAGTAAAGCGGAGTTTTTGTCACTACCGCCCACACAAAAGACTGAAGGTGCAGCGCGGCCCCGTTGGACAACCAACCCGAGAATTTCGGAAAGGCCAAGACGTATGGCGATCAGTGACCAAACCGCGAGGTTTACGGTGGCCATCCGAACCGACTCCGTCTCAGCGGAGCAGCCACAATTGAAACGCCCTGCTGCGGCCCCAAAACAGTCACACCTACCAGAGCACATAAGAAAACTGCAAGATGAAATCGATTCGTACCGACCCATATTCTGGTAGCCCTTCAGAAGCGACTTCCCCAAGTCCTTACTGATCATAACTGACACTTCGAGGAAGCACACCAACGACGGTACCGTGAGTTACAAGAACGTCTACGCTCTCGTTCACCGACCTCACACCGACGAGGCCCCTTCCGACCTTTCTATATGGATGACATCCTTACATCACATGACCCCTAAGGCATCGCCGCCGCTGAGCCGACGCCCGGCCTCAAGTCGACTGAGACTGCCACCCCGATCACCAACCATGGCCAGAGGCAGTAAACCCTATGCTCCTGCACACTCTCGCAAGAAAAAAAAAAAAGGATATATTCTTACGCCCCTTCAGTTCGACGTACAGCGTGCTTACGTCGAACCGACGGTATACAAACTTTCACGAGCGACTTGATAGCTCGAGGTACAACTTATTAAAATAGCTAGTGTACGTGTTACTGACCAGAACAAAAGTAATCGGGGTTTTCTTGGCCCTACTGTAAAAACTCAGTGTCTTTGATACGTACTTTAGCCGTTTACTCATATATCACCGTTCTCAAGCCCTTCTTAAAAGTTGGGGCTGTCTGTTCGGCGACAGTCCGCTGTATACGTCGAACTAAAGTTTTGGGGTGTCGTAAATGGGACAAGACGTGTAAGTATATGCCCTTTTTTTTCGAGAGTGCAGTGGAACTGTCGCGGCTTGCGGGGGGCCGCAGCCGGGCTCAACGAGCGCCTCCGGGGACCGCAGTCCGCTGGCGGTCCTGCTGCAGAAGACTAAAGGCGCGTTCCCACCGGCGATGCGATCTAGTCGCGCGATAACTTTCATCGCAAAAGCGACCATCGCGGGCAAAAAGCGACGCGATTTGAGCAGTCGCCTCTCGACCCGACTTTTTTGCGATGCGATCTAGTCGCGGAGTGGCTGAGCCAATCAACGGCGTTCGGAGCGAGAGTTTTCGAGAAACGACTCGCCAACGAAGGCGTTGGACTCGCTCATCGCGCACGCCGGTGTGACCATCTAATTTTTTTGCGATGCGATCTAGTCGCGTCGCACGACTGCTTACATCGCCGGTGGGAATGCGCCTTAAAGGGATACTGAACCGAAATTTTGAACTCACAAAACAAGGCTGGACAGATAGGCGGGACGATGCAAAACCCAAAAACATCACTCATACAGCGATATCTTTAACGGATCGCCATATTTTTAGAAAAGAAGTGCCCGACTGAACCCGGCCGACGAGGCCGACAAGGCAAGGGACGTCACGATTCTTATTCCCTCTCCTCCTCACTACGTCCCGTGTCGAGCTGGTGAACCGAAGCGAGGAGGAGAGAAGCGAGGCCGCTCCCCCTCATTCTCAAATTCTCCCGGAGGACAGTGATGTCAGAGGCCTCGCTTGATCGCGCCCTTCTTTTCGAAAAGTGCAGCCATCCGTTTGAGATATCGATGTACGAGCAATGTTTCGGAGTTCGTAGAGTCCCGTTCAACGCTTCTAGAGCCTTATTTTGCGAAATTCAAATTTCGGTTCAGTATCCCTTGGGCACCGCTGGCGGTCCCTGCAAGGATACCGCGCACACACGACGCACAGCAGTGCACGAACATCTCATTTCGACTTGGCACAGACCGT